AAAAAAGAGCTAATGAGTTGTACAAGGGGGTCCTTCCCCAATCAGGTCTTACTAACAACTGTCTTATTATAATACATCATCATCAAATATAAAACATGTTGACATCATCAAAACTATCAAGTCGAGGAATCAGCTACCGCGGTCCCCTCTCGCTCCGTACGCCTCGTGTTGGTCAAAGTTACATTATGGTGTGTCGTTGCATTGGTGCTAAATTAAGGGTAGAGTCCTTGATCATCATCTTGCCACAATATACTAAAACGTATCGGTGGCTTACAAACCCGGCCACTTCTTGAAATTTTCACACTGTTTGGTAGTGTATTGGATCCACTAACACGTGAACCCGCACTTCCACTTACAGTTACTCTGCATTTGATGTCATAATTGACATCCGACACTCTCGCACTGATGTCTTCATCTCTTGAAGATAAAATATCAGGAACCTGCCAGTCTACTTGATTCTCTGCATACTCCTCATTGGATGATGCTGTATCGTACCAGCGATGTCATTGATACATTCCAACGGATANGTTAGTAGTTGTTCTACAAAAAACAACGTAAATTAATATAAATGATAAACAATATTGAGCCAGTAATGAACTTTGCGAAATATCTTATGTGATTTATTGCTCTCAGTTCTGAAGTATACTTCTGCTTTGAGACATGATTGATTGGCATCAAAACAATCACCTAATCGACTGATCAAGTAATCAGTTGAATGTTTTTCATAATCTTGCTTTTCAATCAGTTTTACACCTTTCTATAAAAACAAAAAATGTTTACAATGTTTAGAAGAAAAGGTTTTTTTCATTGCAACCCCCAAAAATCTTAAAAAGTAGATATTTTACTTGCTTCCATTAAGATATGTTTCACCACTTGTTGACCGCTACCAACCTGAAAAATCTATTATTGTTGGTTTTTTTTCGAACAAGATGGTTGTATCAATTGTCAACTGTGTGCCAAAGCTATTTTCCGGGTTTTTTGGCCGTGGTCCGCAGGTTTTTATGTCTGACATTTCGTCTACTACTGCGGTAGACATTATCAAAGGCGAGGTAACGGTCGTAATGCTTTTCAAATCATTCCAGGTAATAGAATCTCAGACTCATCATCCTCAGTTTGTGTAAACTCCCACCCTCGCAACTCAAACTTCCCCTCAGCCATAACTATGCTCGCTTTTTGGATGAATGTTCGTACAGATTCATCATCGGAAAGGCCGGTTGCCAGTTGTCAACGTAAAAGCTACTTGCTGCTAACCTTTCAATTGTCTCCTTACTGTACAATGTTGGGGAATTTGAATATTTTTCGAGAGTTGTACTGAGATTATATTCAAGGGTTGCTCCGAGCAAAAATGGACTGCATGTTACACCGAATACCACCCTACGTTGACGATAAACTATTTCCTGTCCATTTCGGTCGAACCATAGAAATCGTAAAAAATCACGATCGGCTTCGTAAACACTGATTTGAAGAAATGCTTTACGTATGTCAGAAATTACATTAAATTTCTCCTTACGAAATTTCATGAAAATGGAAAATATGCGTTCTATAAGATTTGGACCCTTTTCGACGCATTGATTGAGCGAGGGTCGGCCTTGCTCGTGTGTATCAAATACCGGTCGGACTTTAGTTGTAGCGCTTTTTTCCTTTAGGACTGGCCTATGAGGTAAGTAATGGACTTGATTTTTCCATTAGAATACTTAACCTCCTCTATAATCTCCTCCTGCAACCATTCTTTAAAAATGCAGTCATATGACTGGACAAATTTATTATTATTCAATCAAGTCTTTTCCTAGCCAATGAAAGATTGTCAGATAGGGGTGGGTGTCCATCCAACCACGGAAATCTCACTTCGTATCTACTACCTTCATTATTCTTAGAGGTAGTCTGTATAAATAAATCCTTAGCTGCCATTTCCATCTCTTTCCTTGATCTCCTTTCCAAAGGGTCATAAATTTGTCAAAGAGAGGTCATTGACTAGAAGAGAAGTCATAGAATTTGCTATTCTGTCGATATTATTTCTGTGATATGGAAGTTTACCAATCAGCCTTCATCCTAGTAAAGTTTCAACTACCACCAATACGCACTGCAAATTTTCGACCAGTCTGCCCCATCTGCCCCGATAAGTAACTCAATCAGATCAGAATTACGAATATCATATATTTGAATATCTAAAGACTTGAGCCCGTCCATCCAAGGTCCATTGAACACAGGAGAAATCCCATCGCATATCAATGCTGATTGGGTAGGTACTTCAAGTGTACAGCAATAATTATGGCTCATTAATTTACGTAAATAACACTGTTTTACATGTGAATAGTTTATTGTTTGTCTCTACTACTAGTGCTGCCTCTCGTGACACGTTTGCTGTACTATTCTCAGAAAAATGGCTCATTCAACACGAATTTCAGTACTGAACACTGGAAGCGGGTATTCAGATTTTGAAAGGTACTTTTGACTATACATTAACATTTAGGAAAACGGGAAAGAAGCTTGGTGGTTTTGCTGACGCTGTTGGGGAGCGTGTATCCAAGACAGACGTTCTTATACTGGATATGTTTTTATTTATGGGGGGAGCAGCAAGTAGTTGGGAGTCACGCAAACAAAGAACTGTTGCATTATACAGCACTGAATTAAAATACACGGCCTCAACTGAAGCTACAAAGGAAGTACTGTGCATACAAAATATTTTGGAAAAACTGAATTTTCCTGAGGAGAAAATCGTTGTTCTGAACGATAATCAAGGTGCACAACTTTAGTTCCGAATTCAGCATACCATTCGAGAACCAAACACATTGATATAAGACATCATTTCATAAGGGAAATATATAGCAATGTTTTGATTGATATACAATACCTTCCGACTTCCAAGATGGTGGCTGACATTTTACGAAGTCCTTGAATCGGTTTTCTAGAGAAGACATGGGTGTACTGAGAAGCTGAAACTTTGAGGGGGAGTGTTGAAAATCAATCAAAGGTTCCATACTTCAAGAGTCCATTGCTATGGATGTTGTCGACATGGAAATATAAATGTATTATTAGAATATACAAAAATAGACGTTTTCTAAATTGAATTTCAATAGAAGTTATATTGAATTACAATAATTATGCATCGGGACTTGGGCACGCACCCGTACAAAATTCAACAAGCCCAGGATCTGAAGATAAATGACTATAGACAACGACGTGTGTTCGCTAAATGGGCTCTGGAGCAGTTGTCAATTGACTCTAATTATCATCGGAAAATCATCTTCAGCGATGACTTCCATTTCTGGATGAATGGGTACGTGAACAAACAAAATTGTCCAATTTGGGACGATACCAATCCACACGAGTTCCAAGAGCATCCCAAAAAAATCACTGGTGTGGATTTTGGGCTGGCGGCGTCGTCGATATAGACAACGACGTGTGTTCGCTAAATGGACTCTGAAGCAGTTATCAACTGACTCTAATTATCATCGGAAAATCATCTTCAGCGATGACTTCCATTTCTGGATGAATGGATACGTGAACAAACAAAATTGTCCAATTTGGGACGATACCAATCCACATGAGTTCCAAGAGCATCCCGAAAAAGTAACTGGTGTGGATTTTGGCTGGCGGCGTCGTCGATATAGACAACGACGTGTGTTCGCTAAATGGGCTCTGGGGCAGTTGTCAACTGATCCTAATTATCATCGAAAAATCATCTTCAGCGAGGACTTCCATTTCTGGATGAATAGGTACTCGGGCAAACAAAATTGGCGAATTTGGGGCGGTACCAATCCACATGAGATCCAAGAGCGTCCAATGCATCGCGTTTGTTGTGAATTTTGATCTGGCAGCGTCGTCGATCCATCACTGTCAACGGCGAACACTATAGGTCGATGATTACCAACTTCTTTTGGCCTTTTTTGTATGATCTGGACACCAACGACATGTGGTTTCAACAGGACGGTGCCTACGTACCACACAGCACATGCTACATAAGAGCCAACGTAATCCATGCTTTCGGTCACATTCAGCGCTAGAGTCAAGGAAAATTGGACGTTTCGGATGCACTCCACCCAGAGAAGCCGTGGCAACCATTTATTGATATTATATTTTAAATAATGGCATTAATTAATATGCTTTCCGTAACTAATAAGTAGTGGTAGAAAATAAAAATAACCTACAAACTTCGGCATTCCATTCACAGAGGCGCTAAGCGCACACCAATGTTTACATTTAGAAACGATTCTTGTAAAAATTGGAAAAAATTAGTGAAAAAATTTTAGTGATTGGCAACATTTTTATACCATATCCTTTCTCCTTTTTACACGCTTCATATTAGCTTCACCTGTATGTATGTATGTATATATTTTTGTTTGTTTGTAAATCTCAAGCTCGGGATCTGTATTTGACAGAATTGTCGACATTATTGCTTGATCTATTCGCGGGCAGATCGCGCTGTACGTAACCTCCTTGATATATTAACATTATTGCTTGATCTATTCGAGGGAAGATGGCGCTGCCTTGATATATCGACATTATTGCTTGATCTATTCGCGGGCTGATGGCGCTTTAGGTAACTCGAACTCATTTAACATGTATTTCTTCATTTGAAAAAAGTATTTTTTTCATTAACACGCGCGGCTGCTGACTTATTTGTAACCCTCCCTTGTACGCTTGCTGCCTTGGGCTTAGCTGAGTTTCTGGCTCCCTTTCCGGAATCGGAAAATATCAATGGTCATTTTTCTAAACAATATACGGCTAATTGATCCCAAAGTTTAGATAAGATAAATATAGTTTAAAAATACTAAAAAACACACTTTTATAGCATACGAAACTAAAAAATGAAAAATAAATGTAGTTTAAAAAACTATAAAACGCGCATTTAAAGAACATCGAACTAAAAATTTTTTTTAATTATACTAGTATTTTTCGTTCCTTATTGTCTCGAGCATATTTAAAAAAAATTAACTTTTTAGTTCGATGTTCTTTAAAAGCGTGTTTTTTAGTTTTTTAAACTGTATTTATTTGATGTTGTTGTTTTTTGGAAATTAAACAAAAACGGTGGAATAGAAAGTGAAAGGTCCAGGTGCACTTTTCACTGTTTATGACTTTAACCATGAAGTTCCTGTTGTATTTTCACAATTATTGTATTCCATTTGTTGTACTATTTCTAATGGCATTTTGTTTTTCACGTCCAATCCCAGCAATTATATTTGGCGACGGGTAACCCAGGAAGCTACGAAGAAGGAGAGATTCCTTTAGCGGTTGCGGAACCGGTGGAAGGCGGTCCAGGGCCCATGGGACATACCTTGGTATGTCCGACCAATGAGGATTCCACAATATGGAATAGTTCTGGAGAACAACTCTGCGTCGTATGTCAATCTTTTCCTTTGTCGAGGGCTCTTTTGCCCTGCAGGTGGGTAGAAATACAGGGTGTTTGTGTAGTCACTGTTCATATACAGTGTCATCCGATTTTCATAAAACCCTCTCATCTCAGTTGTTGAAACTGCGACTTCCCTCTAATTGGGAGAAATGGTGAACCTTCGAGTGTACTTTCATTCAACCAATGAAAAACAGATTTTTTCATTAGCATAGTGTATATTGTAGGTCGACAAAAATAAAAATTGTTCATATTTGTAATAAAATCATCTCTTCTAGCCAATAGAAAAAAATACTTTTCGAGTAAGTAAATCATTTGTATATTCCATTGGCTCACTTATTACCAGCCATTGAATTTTTTTGAAAATAGTTAAAGCAAGTAATACTGTTAACTATCTGGAATTCTAGTTTTTTTACATATCCTTCCATATTTATACATTTTTCTGTCACTTGTAACATAGCAACTTTTCTTAAAATAGTCAAAATCGACTTTATTCATCAACATGANAACACGTTAACCCGCACTTCCACTTACATTTACTCTGCATTTGATGTCATAATTGACATCCGACACTTCCGCACTGATGTCTTCATCTCTTGAAGATAAAATATCAGGAACCTGCCAGTCTACTTGATTCTCTGCATACTCCTCATTGGATGATGCTGTATCGTGCCAGCGATGTCATCGATACATTCCAACGGATAAATTCGTTTAATAGGCCGCAGCAGGGTTCCTTTTGATGTTTTGACCTGCACCAAACGAATCTTGCCTGGAATGAGTTGTGTGTTACGTCCCAAAGGCCAATCAAGGCGTTTATCATTTTCGTTTCCAACTAGGACTACTTCACCAAGTTCGACTTGTCGCAATCGCTTTTGGTTCTTCATTAGCTTCAATTGTCCTAAATATTCGTTTCGAAAACGGTTTCTCAAATTCTCTCGTCATTTTTGTTTGTGTACCATCTTCTTATTGAGAGAACTTGTTTCTACAGCATCGCACTCAGGTACTTCGTGCTGTGATAGGTCATGAAGAAACATGGCAGGTGTCAAGTGAGTTAAATCATGGTATGTGAGGGGCCTTGAATTGACTGTTGCCTCACAATCACAAATTATAGTCATCAAGTCTTCATAACTCAAGGAAGAACGACCAAGTACACGCTTGAGTAGCTGTTTCAACATTCCTATAAGCCGTTCCCAAAAGCTAAACCACCAAGCTGCTGAAGGGGGATTGAATATCCAAGAAATTTGCTCTATAGTCTGCATAAACCTTCCAATCTATACGATTGAATACGTTTTCGGCGCCCACAAAGTTGATCCCGTTATTACTGTATATTGTCTTAGGACGACCACGTCGCGCCACGAACCGCCTTAGAACTTGAATGAATCCGTGGGTGGAAAGAGTAGTAGCCAGTTCCAAATGGATAGCACGGTGAATAGACAAATCCACCCGATTTTAGATAAAGCGGTCCAGCAAAGTCAACACCCGTGATCTCAAATGCACTTGCATCCTGCACTCTGTCTAATCTAAGCGGGAGGTTTGGATGTTGAAAGTTTTTGGCGTTATACCGCCGAAAAATGACGCATCTTTTTATGACAGATCGTATTGTTCTACAACCACCAACTATACAGTATCTTTCGCGTAGGTTACTCAATAGTCCTTCGGTACCGATATGGCACAACCGCACGTGTGTAGGGGAAAGTGGTTACCCTTCGTACACTTTTTAGATTTAATTTTTTTTCTTTATGACTAATTGTTGACTTTATCAACTTTATGTACCAGAGTGTAACAAATATATTGTAGTTTATTACAAAAAAGTTTGAATCTATTATGTCATGTACCATCTTCTTATTGAGAGAACTTGTTTCTACAGCATCGCACTCAGGTACTTCGTGCTGTGATAGGTCATGAAGAAACATGGCAGGTGTCAAGGGTGTTAAACCATGGTACGTGAGGGGCCTTGAATTGACTTTTGCCTCACAATCACAAATTATAGTCATCGAGTCTTCATAACTCAAGGAAGCACGGTGAATAGCACGGTGAATAGACAAATCCACGCCTTTTCACCCGATTTCAGATAAAGCGGTCCTGCAAAGTCAACACCCGTGATATCGAATGCACTTGCATCCCGCACTCTGTCTAATATAAGCGGAAGGTTTGGATGTTGAAAGGTTTTGGCGTTATACCGCCGACAAATGACACATCTTTTTATGACAGATCGTATTGTTCTACAACCACCAACTATCCAGTATCTTTCGCGTAGGTTACTCAATAGTCCTTCGGTACCGAAAATCTGTTGTGTCTTCTCTTCGCGAAATTCTGCTCTTGAGATGAATAATACCTTGATCGTTTTTGAGTGGACATAGAAAGTTGAGCTTGTTATAATTTAGGCCACTAAAACTTTCATTCTGAATATAATGTATAATGAATATTTCAGCTTTATCTAATTCTCAAGGCTCAAACAATCTTTCTTCTTAGGGGATGGATTTTTGACGTTGTGAACAAAACGATGAATCCACGCCATTATTCGGACTGTTCTGTGATATTTTAAAAAATATCCGAAGTGCCATTCATCCGAATTATAGTTGAGCATAGTCGTAATAGGGGATTTATTTCTTTCTTTAATGATCTCTTCCTCATCGTTTACGATTTGTTCATGTGGCCAAGATGTTGAAGGTCCATACAACCATGTGGGTTCCTCCCACCATTTTGAGTCATAGAGATGACGAGGAGAACAACCTCGTGCAGGAAGATCTGCTGGATTCAATGCACCTGGGACATGGCGCCAAAATTCAATATCAGTCAATCGACGAATCTCTTGCACTCAATTTCCAACAAATGTTGACCATGATTCACTTAGTTGAATCCATGAATTAACGGTGGATTCGTCACTCCAGAAATAACTTTTGATATATTCATGGAAATTTTTCCTCATTCCGTGATATAATCTTGCACCAATATTCGCAGCCAATAACTCCAAACGTGGAGTAGAAATTCATTTCAGTAGTTTGACTCTGGATTTGGCTGCCACTAAATGAACTGAGATGCTATTATTCTCGACTCTCAAGAAAATAACTGTAGTGTTAGCATCTCTGGTGGCATCAACAAAAGTATGCAAACCGCATCATTCAGGATTTTCCAAATAAGGTATTTCCAATATCCACTTCGTAAAGGAGTTTCTGGATTCATCATCTACGGGTTCATCCCAGTGGAGTTGTTTTTTCCAAGGCGACTGTAGTAACAGCTTAGGAAACAAAGTTGCTGGAGAAGTGAATCCAATCGGATCGAAAACTTTCTGGGTCATAGAAAGAATTACCCTCTTAGTAAAAACTTGGTCTTTCAAATTTATATCATGGTATTCATTAATATTCAGGGTATCTGATAATGGATTTCAAATCAATCCAGGTAATAGAATCTCAGACTCATCATCCTCAGTTCGTGTAAACTCCCACCCTCGCAACTCAAACTTCCCCTCAGCCATAACTATGCTCGCTTTTCGGATGAATGTTCGTACAGATTCATCATCGGAAAGGCCGGTTGCACAGTTGTCAACGTAAAAGCTACTTGCTGCTAACCTTTCAATTGTCTCCTTACTGTACAATGTGGCGGAATTTGAATATTTTTCGAGAGTTGTACTGGTATTACATTTAAGGGTTGCTCCGAGCAAAAATGGACTGCATGTTACACCGAATACCACCCTACGTTGACGATAAACTATTTCCTGTTCATTTCGGTCGAACCATAGAAATCATAAAAATCACGATCGGCTTCGTAAACACTGAATTGAAGAAATGCTTTACGTATGTCAGAAATTACATCAAATTTCTCCTTACGAAATTTCATGAAAATGGAAAGTATGCGTTCTATAAGATTTGGACCCTTTTCGACTCATTGATTGAGCGAGGGTCGGCCTTGCTCGTGTGCATCAAATACCGGTCGGACTTTAGTTGTAGCGCTTTTTTCCTTTAGGACTGGCCTATGAGGTAAGTAATGGACTTGATTTTTCCATTAGAATACTTAACCTCCTCTATAATCCCCTCCTGCAACCATTCTTTAAAAATGCAGTCATATGACTGGACAAATTTATTATTATTCAATCAAGTCTTTTCCTAGCCAATGAAAGATTGTCAGATAGGGGTGGGTGTCCATCCAACCACGGAAATCTCACTTCGTATCTACCCTCATTATTCTTAGAAGTAGTCTGTATAAATAAATCCTTAGCAGTCATTTCCATCTCTTCCCTTGATCTCCTTTCCACAGGGTCATAAATTTGTCAAAGAGAGGTCGTTGACTAGAAGAGAAGTCATAGAATTTGCTATTCTGTCGATATTATTTCTGTGATATGGAAGTTTACCAATCAGCCTTCATCCTAGTAAAGTTTCAACTACCACCAATACGCACTGCAAATTTTCGACCAGTCTGCCCCATCTGCCCCGATAAGTAACTCAATCAGATCAGAATTACGAATATCATATATTTGAATATCTAAAGACTTGAGCTCGTCTATCCAAGGTCCATTGAACACAGGAGAAATCCCATCGCATATCAATGCTGATTGGGTAGGTACTTCAAGTGTACAGCAATAATTATGGCTCATTAATTTGACATCATAACAATGATGTACTTGCGCAGAGGCATTTGAACCTCCAAATAACAAATGAATAATTTTTTACATCCGTTTTGGTTCAAAACCCATCGACTCTGCATTAGACTTGAGAATATATTACCTCTGAGACCCTGTATCTATGATTAAGCAAACATCTTTAGATTTTTCACCATTTGTTATTTTGACTCGTAAAGTCTGCAAAAATACGTGAGTCCCTATGTAATTTGTCAAAACGTGATACGTGATTCATAGATACCATTTCACATTTTCCTTCGTCTTGATTCTCGGGTTTCTAATCAAAATTGAGTTTATTTGATTGAAATGCTGGATACATCAAAACAACATGTGATTTGCTACAAATCAAACATCTGAAACTGTTTTAACAATTCTTCATTGGTTGTATAGAAGTACATAAGGAAATCCATTAATTCTTCAAATTGGGTGAAAATTGCAGCTTTGACACTGAGATATGGAGAGGGACACGCTGTTTATCAGTACTAGGAAAAAAATTATTTGTGCAGATCTAAATATTTACACACACTAAGTATCAAAAAACTGATCCACCCAAATTTTTTGTGAAATTGATACTTAATAACTTTTAAGGTGCATTATTGAAACAATTCAGTAAAACACTTGAATTGAGCAACTAATTCAATACTGTCAAATATGTTCTGTAGAACCGAAACTGAAAATACTGTTTTCCGGAATTCACTACGAGAACAATTTAAAAAATCATGTATTTCTTTTACAGTTTTTATGCATCTGCTTGTTTAATTTTTTTTCCAGACATACTTGCATCTGTGCAAGTTGTTTTGCCAAATTGGACCGTTGTCCGATGTGCAGGGGTCCCATAAAAAGTTACTTCTGCATCAGAGGTGAGGAATACATGCCAATTTCTTCAAATACAAAAACTCCAAGTTCCCACAGTTCTTGGTATAACTGGCTTCATCATTGGGACGATCGGCTCATTGATTTTCTAGGATTTCAACGATGAAAAAACTATTGTAGAAAGTTCTACCTGCATTTTTGTTGACAGAATTGCTAACTATTTTTGTTTTTATTGAAAAGACGTTTCCAAATGACACGAAAAATTACCTGCATAGGGTGTTTTTCCTGTAGTTTGCCATAAATCTGTCCATTATAGTGATATTTAGGGTTAGCTAGTTGAAGATGAAGAAAATTGCTGTCAGGTAAGATTTGATGCCTTTTCGAACATATTGTGTGATTGTGACTAAATCATAAGTCTCGGGGTCAATTTTAGGGTATCCACTTTGATACTGACCCCTCTTACCAATATCATATTTTTCATGGATAGTTTGATTCTCCCAAAATTAAGTAATATAATAAAATGCAAAATGACAAGTTGATGTGTAATGCGATATGGATTATAAAAGGTGAGGAACTAATGAAATTCATCAGTTGATTCCGTTTTTGAAATGATTTTGAATTGATAACCAGTTGCAGAATATATGTTTCAAATGTATGTATATTAGATAATCAACTATGCTTCAAATACCTAAGAATTACAATTCCTGATACATATTCTCAATTACATATAAAATGAAGTTGATTTGAAAAAGTTGAATTCATTGGTTAAATCATCTGAACCAACTCAAGTTTATTATTTGATAATTGTGCCTCCTGTAACGGATTTATTTCTTTATCATATCTGTGTTCATAACAGAAAAGTTTTTCACCAAAAGTTTCATTCGATTGCAATCTGAAGTTCAAGGCTAATAAAGAGGTTTTAAAAAGAGGACATCAGCCCTTTGTTTTTATTGTGAAAAACATATTCAAAATCCCGGGTCATGGGTTAGTAGTTGTTCTACAAAAAACAACGTAAATTAATATAAATGATAAACAATATTGAGCCAGTAATGAACTTTGCGAAATATCTTATGTGATTTATTGCTCTCAGTTCTGAAGTATACTTCTGCTTTGAGACATGATTGATTAGCATCAAAACAATCACCTAATCGACTGATCAAGTAATCAGTTGAATGTTTTTCATAATCTTGCTTTTCAATCAGTTTTACACCTTTCTATAAAAACAAAAAATGTTTACAATGTTTAGAAGAAAAGGTTTTTTTCATTGCAACCCCCAAAAATCTTAAAAAGTAGATATTTTACTTGCTTCCATTAAGATATGTTTCACCACTTGTTGACCGCTACCAACCTGAAAAATCTATTATTGTTGGTTTTTTTTCGAACAAGATGGTTGTATCAATTGTCAACTGTGTGCCAAAGCTATTTTCCGGGTTTTTTGGCCGTGGTCCGCAGGTTTTTATGTCTGACATTTCGTCTACTACTGCGGTAGACATTATCAAAGGCGAGGTAACGGTCGTAATGCTCGAGTTGGTACTCGAGTTGTTGTTCCCAACGGAAAAACTGCAATGCTGGTATTTGACTCTGGTATTTTTATCAATTGGATTACCTGACCTTGTTTGTGTACAATTAAGAACAGGTAGCCAGATTTTATTAATGTTATTGCCTCTTCTTTTCTATCGAAATAAACCCTGTGTTTTTGAATTCCTATTACATCTCTATATACTCTTGGATAGTAATTTTGAGTTTTATGGAGTAACCATCAGCCACAACAAAAGAGAGGGGTAATGAAAACGTTGATTGAGGGAACACGACGTATCTGTGAACCTAAGAGTCTTCCTGAGGAACTCATTAACCTAAAAATGCCTTCAAAGAGAATGGGTACAGCAAATGAGAATTTGAGCGGAACATACAACCCAGGAGAGAGAACGCTAGTCAAAGGAAAAAGCTTTCCTTCCCTATGTTAAAAATGTTACAAACCGGATTGGGTGAATCTTAGAAAAACACGACGTGGAACCAATATTTAAGCCAACAAAAACTATCAAGAAAGTTTAAGGTCACCTAAGGATCTCAAGGAACCTTTAGCAACATCTGAGGTATACCGTATTCCTTGTAGCTGCGGGTCGGTCTACATTGGAACCACGAAATGAAGTATAGGTACCCGTCTCTCTGAACACAAGAAAAATTGTCGCCTCGGACAAACTGACAAATCAGCTGTAGCTAATCATGCGCTCAAGAATGGAAGCTCTCGCATTATCTCATTCAAAGATACAGTAATATTCGATAAAACTCAAAATTACTATCCAATAGGCAATAAGAATTCAAAAACACTGGGATAATTTCAATGAAAAATAAGAGGCAATGAACATTAATAAAAGCTGGCTACCTGTCCGTAATTGTACACAAACAAGATCAGATTATCCAATTAAGAGAAATGTCGGAGTCAAATACCAGCATTATAATTTCTGCGTTGGGAACAACGGACACTACAACTCGAGCACCAACTCGAGCATTATGACCATTACCTCATCATTTAGCCTCGGCAAAGAAACCCAGAAAATAGCTTTGACACAGTTAACTCCGGCCGTGAAAGTTTACATTTTTTGATCAATTGTAAAGTGTGTTATTACAAGTAATGGCTATTATTTTTGAACTGGAAATGATCCACTATGGCTATGTGACCAATTAATTAATCTTACAGTAATAAAATAAATGTTGAAGTTGGCTGCTTGTTTCCAAGAGTTACTTTTACTCTGATATGTTATCGAAGGAAGAAGAAAATCTCAGATGTCTCCTAACAGAAGAATTTCATAAAATTAAGATGTATTTCTTTACTATCCTTCACTTCGGTTTGTTTTCATCAACATTCAATAAAACAAATGAGTTATTGTTAAAAGGGACCTGAGTCATTTTTTGAGATTTTGATTTGGGTACAGTTTTGTTCTCTGAAGGTAGATACACATTTTGATATAAAAAGAGGCGTTAGTTCCACATTATCCTTGAGCATTTTCATCCATAATGTTTTTTAAATGAGAGAAAGAAGCCTACGGTAAATGAAACTTCGACCGAAGAGAAGTAAACTGAATTTGACGAACAGAAACATGCCATTATTTATATTGTAAGTTTCAAAGTTTACCAAGGTTTTGATTGGTTTAAATTAGGATTACCGGTTTTTTAATCTATGTAATTCATTGATAACGGAACTTTTTAGTGATAAGGATTTATCTGAGTCATTAAAATGTTTTTTTTTTCAGAAAATCTAAATAATAAAATTCTGCGTCGTCGGTTGATGTTGAAACTTGGCTTGTTTACCTTTGATATTCGTGAATTGAGTGTTCTGTTGATCCCATAGATGATGTATTTCCAGGAGAGATATCATTGTCTTCTCTACTCACCAACTCATGTAATATATAATTTACTTTGGCTCTTCATTACAAAGACTAGTTGGTTCAGAAATTTTCAACATAAAAGTAACCTAGGTACCTTTCAACAATCACCCGTTCAAATATTCCAAATTCAATCCAGTCATCTATCAGTTGGCACTCTCACGACACGTGATATTCGTTTAACCAGTTTTCATTAAACCGTGTTCAACCGGTTTTTCAATAGTACCACAATAGTAGTGATTTTAGAACCACCAAACTTTTGGAACACATCTACAGATATAGGTATTGATATTTTCAACAAGACATTTAGACATATATTTTGCTGCTGTATTGTTTTAGAACTTGAAATCATTCATTAGATTTTTCAATTCACCGTCGAATATGGAATTGAAAATATTCCTTGAAATATTCGTTTTGTCTATTCTCAACTTGCTGATCAAGTTTGATTCCAAATTATTACAAAACAAAAACACTATATGGGATTGATATTAGATAGGTTTGATTATGTATAAAAATTATATTTTTTTCGTAGAAAAAATGAAAAACAAATAGTTGGAAAGATGAAAATGTATACGTACATAGAATTAGTATTCTCTTGGTATCTCAATTGGAAAACTACACATCACTATATTCTAAGTGTTATGTAAAATATAGGTTGTGAATTCTTTTGATTTAGTCATGTTATTTCTCAAATTGAAAATTTTTGTTAATAGTGTAGGGTGCAAACAATGTTTAGCATAACTAAAAATACAAATCATCTAATTGTTTCAAGTACTCTCCATAAGCGTTAGCATATGAATACACTTCCTACATAATATGTTTTATACTCATGAATGTTGCCAGAAATTATCATGAGATTATTTTGTTAGTGACATAAAGTTTTAGTTAATATATAGTGGATATGCTAATGATTTTGAATAGAACTCATGTTAATGAAACTCAGAAATACCAAAATTATGTAAGCCCTACTTTTAGTGGGTTTGTCCTTCCACTTTTAATTTCAAAGTACATAAATACTGTTCCTTGTATATAACTTTTTAGTATTTTCCGAAAAACTTAAATTTTAAACGTGCAATAGCTGAAGGCTATTTTTTTGGTGTCATTGCATTGGTCATTAACCTCGTATCCTGGATAGGCAATGTTAATAACTCCCTGAGCCAACTAGGGAGAATTATGGCTATTCGCAGTCCGTCAGCCATGTAACGACCGGAAGGTCGTGAGTCGGGCCCACTACCACTACGCCAATTCACCGCTGCAATTCATTTCGAAGTATACTTTTTACAAAGATGTGTAGATCATGCTAAGAAGTAACTTTCAGACAAACTTGAAAAGAAAGCTCTCTCAAAACAACTACTTTCATACAAACATTGAATCACATGAAAGAAAATGTACTTTAAGATGTAAATACATTATAAATGAATTTCAAATTTTGTCCCTTGCTTGTAATAAAACAAAATCTAACCTTCAACCTAATGTAGTCAAAAAGCTAAATTCAACTAGTGCAAATAGAACTTGTCATATTATGAAAGATGAAACAGGAATCTGTGGCATAGAAACATTCCAAAACAAGTACTATTTCCAAACACCAGAACTGCAACACTTCACAATGCCCGTTTCACCAAGCAAATTGACATCTTCAGATAAAATGTAGATAGTGTTTGGGAACAGTCCTTTTTTTTGAACTTGTAGATTCCCACTATGCGAGGGGTGATCCTTTTTATGTATGGAATCCAGACATGTAGGTAATTAGAAAGACACTTTAAGGAGACTTGTACGAACAAAGGGTTAACGAGGTTTTACCTTTCAATGTATGACTCTAATCAGATTACGCTGATGGACAAAACACCCAATGATATGTCATTCCCAAAATTTCATTAGAGGTTATGGATACAATGAAAATATTGTTTTGATCTAAAACACTTATACTTGTTATTGTTTTGTAGTCTGGATGAATTTCTGAGATTCACTTAGAATAAAATCTGGCTGGTAGACCGTTGTCCAATGAAACTTGTAGTATCAAGTGTTTCATTTGGTAATGTGGCAGACATCCTCAGAGTAATATCTTGAAGTCTCAGCAGTGACGTCGACAACCAAGATTATTTGCTGCAGTAGCAGTCGAAATGTTTGGTACTACAAGTTCCATTTGATCACAGCCTATCAGCTCGGATTTTGTTATCTCTATTCGTGATTCCGGCTATGTCTCATATGCTAACGTTAGACTACCCAATGAAAATCTTTCAACAGTTCAAAGAATAAAATATGCAATAATAGATTTTTAAAATTGAAAGGGGTATATTTTTGGTTTTGTCTTTCTACTTCTCCATCTTTATACAAAAAAAATGTGGAAGTCTTCCAAAGAAAGGAAGAAAGCAATTAATTTCAATAAAAACTCTTTACAAAAATGTGTAGATCAGGCAAAGAAGTAACTTTGACACACAAAACTAAAAGAACAATCCCTCTCGAAACTACTACTTTCATATGAACATTTAAATATACAATTAAATACTTTTTCCTATTTAGTTTATACTTCAAAAATTTGTTATAGAATTGAACCAAATATCATTCATAGGATTTCTACACAATATAGTGTATAAAAGAAGGAAAATTTTACTGACATGGAACACTGTCTCAATTGCGGACATCTGTGTTTTGAAATGAGAAACTTAACTTATTGCCTGAATAACATCATAAGATGTCATTCATAAAATTTACGACTTTATGTCACGAATGAGTTGAATCTACTCATGTTATCCATGACAGTACGTAATGACATTCATTTGCTTATTTGATTTAAACCCAGCCATAGGAATCTTTTTTAAATTGAAAAGAGCATATTTTTAGGAGAGATAATATTTTGGGAAAGAAGGGTTTTGGCTTTTTACTTCTCCATCTGTATACAAAAAAATGGTTCTGGGAAACCTTCTTTAAAAGATACTTTCTAATCAGTTTTTGTTGAATTTTGGTCATAATTTTTTTCATGACTTTGATTTTTCACAAAAATAAGTTGCACTAAAATATATACATTTGGTACTTATTTCTTAAAAAAAATCACCTGAAAATTGGTTTTTATTCTGTTTTTTTTTTTTATTCAATTATTTGTACCAGAATAATAATTTAAACTCTTGTATGGCGCACCAGGTGACTAGTATCTTTGCATAGATTATATTCATGTCCTTTTTTTGATTGGCTAACTATTCACAATGAAAAATTGAATGGAGAATCAATAAGAAAATTGTGTTTTTCCATGAACAGGTATATCAATTTTGAGGTTCGAGTATTAACATGCTTTGATTTCCATTTTCTTGAAATGAGCCTTTTGAAACCACCCACTTGAAAAATCAGATCACGTAACACCAAATGATGGTGCACTCTCAAGAAATATACAAGTTCCGTTAATTTCATCGTCAACTGTATGTAATAATTCAGTAATAAACAAATTTTTGGCAATTGGAACTCTTGCACCAATATTATCGCAACATCGTATACCATTGTGATACGTGGTCTGACCACTTTTTCGCTTTTTTTTTTTGTACTAACTAATTTAACTCCAATTTTCAACTACTGTGAAATACTAATGTAAGAAATAAAATAATATAACATACTTAAAAATGTCACCAGGAGTCCAATTTTTTGTCAGAAACTCTTGGAATATACCATACGGTATTTACTTCTGATAGGATATTGTAAAATGTAACACCACAATCCAGGTAACTGTATAACTTCAAAATGAATATTGTATAATAAATACGCTATTTCCGTTATGCTTATTTGTCGAGTCGTCTTGAATGGGTTCAATTCTTTTTCTAATATTTAAACAAATTGAAATTCAGTCTCACTGAAATGTATTCACTCTACATAAATTGTATGATGAAGTAGCCTTTGTAAATAGATGTCTATGTAAATTACAGTAAGTAAGTATTTTAGTATTTATCTAAGCCTGTGATAATCAAGGCTCTTCAGTACCAAATTGGATAACATTATAGAAAATATACACAGTTCATTCATGAATTACGATTTTCAATGTCACGGAATAATCTTGATCTGCTTATGTCATCGATGACATTGTAATGTCATTCATTCACCTATTTGATTTAATCCCAGCCAAGAGGAATCTTATTTGAATTGAAAGGGTTATATTTTTAGGAGTGATCAATTTTTTATTGTTATTTTATTACCTTTCAACCTTTATAAGGTTATTTCATAAATACAAAATGAATGTGATTCGACATTGTTTCATGCTTACAGAGTTCTAGACCTGGTGAGAAATTCAAGTATGATGGCGTAAAACTATACTAGAGCCCGTTCTTTTAGCTATCAATGATTTCAAAATTCAGCACTAGTAACATATCCTGAGCTGGAGTACTGGATCAGAAACTTATCTAGACAGAGTATTTACTATTATCGACAGCCCAGAAGCTGGCTCTCGTCTTGCATTCCATGTCACTGTCATCAGCCCGACCTTGATTTAGAAGAAGTATATAAATTGGAAGAGGAATGGACATTTTTCCTCAAGAGTATTCTTATCATTCCTTTTTCAACAGCCCTCCTATCCAAGAAAAGAAAATGCAGGAATACATGAAAAGTAGAGAATTATTGATAACTTGTGTAATCAAATTCTAAATTGCTATTTTCAGCTGAGGTAACCAATAAAAATTAAATTATTTTCTAAAATTGAAGTTTACTCTTAAAATAAATATACTGTACAAGTAAAAAAATTTTACATACAAATTATATATCATCTTATATACAGTATCACTAGATGGGAATAATCAAGTTGACTAATCTGTAATGTTATGAAAACCAATCTGTAGTTAAACCTCCAAATAGGGAAGCTGCGCTCTGCTTCATCATACTGGTGGGGTCTTGGGCCTTTTTTGGAGTTACTTTTGATGACTTCTTTGGGGCTTCCTGAAACATAGATTTGTTTCAGTAATATTTATTATTGATGTCGATTTCAAACGGATCACATTAAAAAACAAGCTGTAGTTGAGAAAGGACAAAGTTAAGACATGGAACATTTGAAAAACCAAAGACATAGACAAAATGAACACATTTAAAACCAAAAAAAAAACACAGACTGAATTTCTGCCGTTTCAATGTCTTATGCTTGAAATTAAATTATGAGGTAGCATTTTTTGTAAGTTTCTAGAATGTGTTATAGTAGTTATATATAATATGTTAGTTAGCTCAACATGTAAGTAATAAATTGTTATATCAAATTTAATGCAAACCAATCCATTTACCATTTATAAACTGAAATTATTCCTGTGATTCTGAAAATCACAAAATATTTATTCCATTTTTTGATTTTTCACTCAAAGTTAATGCAATAAGGGTTTTATTGGTTGTAATGCATAAGGGTGAAAGTGAGAAAATGCTTTTTCTTAAGTTTTTTTGAAAGTAAAAGAGAAAGCCAAATAGAGAGGAAAAGCATTTGCTCATGTTTATGCATTCCACACATTATCATTAACCCATTAGTGCTCATTGGCAACATGGGTTGCCACTGTTTTCAAATCAACGGCATGTCAAATTTTGTTAGGTTATGTCTGAAATTTCATCGTGAACGTGTTGTACAAGTGTTACTCCGACATTTTGTGAAGAAAAGTGTTGTATATTCCATCTGAGATTTTCTAAAGTATACTTTGATTTTTGTGAAGTTCAGAGCTCACGAACATTCCTATATAAATGTAAGTATAATTTGTTGTTCTCACTAAAATATTCTTATGCATCTGTTAGAATCAGTTACTAAGATATATATTTCTGAGGTTTTGTGGCAAGTAGATGAATTTTGTTCTCGGTATTGTTGTACCAAGTATGTAAATTCAGATGGCAACTATAGTTCCCACCGAGCTGTTGGGTAGCTATGTAAAGAAAAAATAATTTTATTTGTTAGGTCGGAACGCGAAGATGGCACGTTTACAGTTGATGAAATGCTGAATGCCTACGAAGAGTATTACGGTGAACGAATTCCTTGTATCAGATCTATTAGTATCATTTCTCCGCATGAGCTTCCGAATGCTGATACAGATGAAGACTCTGATTTGTCTGATGATGAAGTGGAAGGAAAGCCAGCACATTTGCCTGGCCGTATACTTCGAAGTAAGGCTGTGGTTACTTTTGAAGAATCACAGGAAGAGCAGAATGAATATACTCAATCTGAGCAAAATATATATACTCAAATGGAAGATATTGTAAATTCTCAACATGAGCAGAATGATGACATTTATATGGAAGAAAATGAGGATCCCGAACCTTCCACTTCAAAGTGCGTTCGTCTGCAGAAGAAGAAAAAAGTCCTGCCATCAAAATCAACTTGGTCTTCAAACAAACAACCTGTCTGGAAACTGCCATCTATAGAGAAACTTTGCGAACCACTCACTATAGACTTTCTGAAGAACACTGTTGCTTCGCCTTTAGATGCCTTCAAGTGTTTTTTCACTGACCAATTGGTGAACCATATTGTTACACAAAGTAATCTTTATGTCGGCCAAAAAGGAGAGCATCACGTGAATATCTCCTCTGAAGAGATTTATACAGTGTTGGGCATTATGTTATTGAGTGGATATCATAAGTTACCTAACAAACGTATGTACTGGCAAGAAGATCCGGACTGCAACGTGACCATCGTTTCGGAGGCAATGCGCAGACGCAGGTTCGAAGAAATCTTACGATATATTCACCTGAATGATAACACAAATATTGACACGTATAGTTTTTATAAAGTAAGACCTCTTTTTGATTATTTGAATGAGTCATTCAAGCAAGTTCCATGTGAAGGTTCTCTTTCAATTGACGAAAGTATCATACCATATTATGGCCGTCATCACGCGAAACAGTTTATTCGCGGAAAACCTATAAGGTTTGGGTTCAAGATGTGGGTGATAGCTAAGCCGAATGGATATATAATGCATGTAGAACCTTACTGTGGATCAAACACCAAATTGCCTGATACTGGTCTTGGTCAGGGAGGTGATGTGGTAATTAGTTTGGCGGATCACTGCAAAGGTCCCAAAGGAACAAAACTATATTTCGACAATTTGTTCACTTCAATTTCTCTTCTGGAAGAGTTATGTAAAAGGGAATTGGGAGGAACCGGTACTCTACGAGAAAACAGAATAGGCAAAGCTATGAATTTACCACCCAAGAAAGAATTCAAGAAGGTTGAAAGAGGAAAATTTGTAACTGTTGGAAATGGAAAACTGATCGCAGTTTCCTGGAATGACAATTCTGTGGTTACCGTTCTGTCAAACTGTGATGAAGTAAATCCACTCAGGAGTATTCAGAGATATAGTCGTACTGAAAAAAAAAAGATAACTGTGAAAATACCTAACCCAATATCTCAATACATTTCAAATATGGGAGGGGTTGATCTCAATGATCAATTCACAAGTACCTAAAGGACAAGAATAAGAATCCAGAAATGGTGGTGGCCTATGTTTGCTTGGAGTGTGGACGAATGTTGCGTACAGGGATGGCTCCTCTATAGACAGCTAGGACACGATATGCCACTTTTGCAGTTCAGAAGACAGGTTGTTCTGCAATTATTAAATTTATATGGTACTCCTGCTATCAGACCTGGACCGTCATCATCTTATTCAAGATCTGTTTCCCTTCATGACATAAGAAGAGATGGAAGGAATCACCTTATTGTGAAAGGAGAGTCAAAGTACAGGCGGTGTAAGACGTGTCACAACCGTACTCTATACCTCTGCTCAAAATGCAAAGTGCCACTTCATTCCAAATGTTTTGAACCATTCCATAATATGTAATATGCTAGAGTGTAGTTTTGTATAATAAATAAAATGAATGATCAAACTTTTTGTTTATATGAATCTTCAAATAATATTCTTTATAATATCATCACCTGGTGACATACTTTAAATGCCCTAAAGGCTCAGTGGCAACTCAGGTTGCCAAGCATTTCTGGAGTCCTTGAAAAGGAAATATTTTTTTATATATTTTTCAATTGCTCGAGTGATTATATAGTAGCAGAAAAGACATTGCAATATCAATAAATTCAACATTTTTAGTTCTGATCACTAATGGGTTAATGAGATGTGATTCAAAATGCATGGGTTTGTCCCCATGAGTCATGGGGTGGAAAGGAAAGTTTTCTCCATAATCACTCTCACTATCTTTCGAACAAACGAGCAATTCAATTAGTGCTAGGAATCACACCCCAAAAAGTATGACCTCGTAAATCATTAGCTCGCCTAAGTTTCGACTTTTGAGGATTGTCGTTCGTAGAGGAGGGAGAGCTAATTAACAGAAAAACAGATTTTAATAGTTCCATTTGGAAAATCACAATTTACTATATTTACTTGGGTTCGGAAAGGAGTCTATGTAAGATTATCAAACATAGTTACTATTGTGTTCTCTACAAAGTTGAATGGTTGAAAAGATCATTAATGAAGAGCAGAAAAAAATCAAAGGTTCTATAACAGTGACTTTTTCAAATTGTATCCAATAGGAGTTTATGAGAACCAAATAAGACCTCCAAAAGTTTGAAAACTATCAATATAAAATTAAGTAATCGCAATTTCATACTTGATTCATTTGATGTTAAAATGATGTTAAAAATAATACATAATCAACTTATAGAAGAAACCAATGTGAAACTAACTGGTCGATTTATAATAAAAAAAGAAATGAATAAGTAACTCAAAAAAACTGAAGAAAAAATTCTACTATAATAAAATCAACAAGCACAGAAATGATCCACTCAAGTTCCCTAGTCCCTAAAAAAAACTGATGAATAAAAAAACTCAACACAACATTCGTCCACATGGACGAATTTTAGTTACAGTAACTGTTGTGTTGTAAGTTCGTCTCTCCAATGAGTACCTGATTAAGAAGTACCTGATTAAACTTAAGGAGAAATTGACTTTGTGGTGCTTTCAAATCATGTAACTTGACAATCCTCGCCACTGGACATCACTGTACTACTGGATAGAAAACAAAATGTATAAATGATTGATTCAATAACTTCATTTTGTTTTGAAATTGACATATTTCCGGGTTATAGATTCAAGCAATATTGGGAAATACCATAAACATACAGAAAAAAGCAAGTTCAAAATACTCTCTACATGTGTACCACATATTAAAATGACTCTTTCAAAAAGTATTATGCAATATTCATTGATGACAGTAAAACTTTTTTCAACGGATACCAAATTAAATTTGATTCTACCAATGAAAATAATTAATAAAGTACTCACCTTGGCATTCTTCAAAGATTGCCCCGGCATCTTTTGTGATGGTGCCGTAACTGGCAGTAGAGGAAACCAAGAAGACGTTGAAGGAATACTCAAGGCTATAATAGAAGGACTTAGATCTTGTTCTCTCTGTTTTTCTAAAACCCCTAAACTGGCCAACTGAGTGGAAGAAGGTAGAAGACAACCAAAAATAACCTGAAAAATCGTAATGATTATTTCTTTTCATTTGAAAAATACTTAAGGTTATTTTATTGATAGCTTACTAAGTTGAACATACCCTATAGTTGTCCTATTAATTCTAGGCCGAGTCAGAATTTTTTTTATAAGTGGTACAATATAACTGATGGAGTTTTATCCCAACACCAAACCGTTATTTCAACACCTTGACACGTGTTTCAATCATCGTCAAGAAGAAGATTAAACTTTTTTTAATCTTCCTCTTGAAGATGATCACTTAGTGATCGAAACACGTGTCGACGTGTTGAAATAATGGTTTGGTGTTGGGATAAAACTCCAGTAATATTCATTACTACAGCAAAAGATGAAAATGTTGAGAAAGTGCATAAAATAGTTATGTAGAACCGTCGAATAACTATTACAAAAGTTGCTGAGAATGATGGCATATCAGTTGGCTCATACCATGCAATTTTTTCGAAAATTTTGGACATGAAGCGTGTCGCAACGTCCTAAAATTGCTAAATTTTGACCAAACACGTCGCATTAGCATCACTCAGGAATTGTAAAATGACGTTAATGGCGATCCATATTTGCTTAAAAGGTCATAACTGCAAGCAGCTTCATCAGACCAGAACCTGTCATTGCCATCGCTTTAGGCTTTGCCAAACAAACATTGAATACCTGGATGGCAAGAAGATTTATGGACTTCTGGCAGAATCTTCCAGGATTGGCTCACTCTAAGGCGTTTATTCACCCTTCGAAGATTGATACCAAACAGTTGTTGGACTACAGTAGGGATGAACTACGATGTCTAACAGGCCTTCTTACAGGTCACTGTAATTTGAATCATCATATGCAGAGACTCGGACTGTCGGAAGACTGTGTGCCTCTTTAAAATGATGAAACAGCAGAGCAAATACTTTGTGGGGACTGAATCAGGTTTTTAGAGTTCGGCAGAGTTCTTGCCATATGATTTTACAGTTAATAAAAAGTATTATCTTGAAGTTATGCGCCGCTTGCGAGAAACAATACGAAGAAAAAGTCCGGTACTGTGGAAAAACAATTCATGACTTTTGCATCACGATAATGCATGTGCTCACTCGTCATTGCTCAAAAACAACACCGTAATCATGCCTCAGCCACCGTATTCACCAGATTTGCTCCCCTGCGACTTTTTTCTGTTCCCAAGATTGGAGAGAACCATGAAAGAACGGCGTTGTGCGACGATTGAGGAGATAAAAACTGAATCGCTGAGCAAGCTCAAGGACATAGCAAAAAGTGCATATCAGAAATGCTTCAAGAATTGGAATAAATGCCGGCACAAGTGTATTAATATCTGAGGGGAACTATTCTGAACTCACACTCGAAACAGAGATAGGGAAACATATAAATTTCTTAGACCTGACCATTACACACAATCAGAATAAATTTGAGTTCAATGTTTTAAGAAAACCTAGCTAAAGGGTTTTTCAATTGGCGCGGGTAGATTTTGGCGCCCCGTGGCGGCCATTTTGTTTTGGTGACATCTGTCAAATCTTTTGTTCATTATTCAGTTGTTTATGCCAAATCATCATAGCAAGTTACACATTGAACAGCATGTTCAAATGATAAAACTTTATTATCAAAATGAGTGTTCGTTAACGCAAACGTTGCGCGCATTGCGCCTATTTTACGGTAGACGTGGTGGCCCTTCACAATCCACTCTTCAACGTTTGGTGGCCAAATTTGAGACGACCGGTTCAGTAAACAATCAGCCAACACCCTCACGTTCAAGGAACGCAAGATCGGCCGAGAACATCACCGCGGTTCGTGAAAGTGTTCATCAGAACCCGAGGCAGTGTATTCCTCGCCGTGCACAAGAACTCGGCCTTTCGCGGACTTCAACTTGGCGAATTTTGCGTCGGGACTTAGGCCTACACCCGTATAAGATCCAACTGACCCAGGAGCTCGAAGGTCATGACCATAGACAACGCCGTTTGTGCGCTGACTGGGCTTCGAATCGTTTGGCCGAAAAATCATCTTTAGTGACGATGCGTATTTTTTGATGAATGGCTGTGTTAACAAGCAAAATTGCCGTATATGGGCCGACACCAACCCACGCGAGGTTCACCAGGTGATAATGCATTCTCAAAAAGTTACCGTTTGGTGTGGATTTTGGGCCGGCGGCGTAATTGATCCGTACTTTTTTGAAAACGACGTTAGTGAGGCGGTCACCGTCAACAGCGAGCGCTACAGAACGATGATAACTAATTTCTTATGGCCCAAATTTAACCATATGGACCTAGACGACATGTGGTCCCAGCAGGACGGCGCTACGTGCCACACAGCAAACGCCACGATTGACATTTTGCATGAACGATTTGAGAGTAAGGTTATCTCTCGCAGGGGTGATGTGAATTGGCCACCAAGATCATGCGATTTGACCCCGCTAGACTTTTTCCTGCATCGACACCTTTAGGGCATCGACCGATGCCCTAAAGGTGAACATAACATAGGTCATCGCTCAAATTCAGCCGGATCTATGCGGAAGAGTCATTGAAAATTAGACCACTCGGATCCGTGCCACCATAAGAAGCCGAGGCGGGCATTTGAATAATGTCATATTCCACACTTGATGGCATACATGCGCCTTTTTAAATTAATAATTATTAATCTTCTAGGAACAAACAGTCGACCAATAATACAGCCTTGATTCTTGTACATTGAGCCAATCTCTTTTCCTAAGACTGGAAACTAAATCTGACAGGTTATAAAGAAAAAGTGAGCCTTTTATTACTTGGTAACATCAGGTTGTATATGATTTATTTTTTTATATATAAAAATTTCAAGTACTCACTAGGCATATCAACGAGTTTGATAAAACATATATGATCTGGTATAGTACTACTGATATTCATGGCAAATATCTCATCTTGCTTAAAGTTTGTAATATTATTGTAATATTTTCTAACAGTGTTGCAGTTTCTTTAAAACTCGGTAAAAACCCATGCAGTTCATGTTAAAAAAAAAAACAACGAAATATCTCACCTGTGATTGTATTATGGCCCTTTTCACGTTATTCTGTAGAAATGAGTAAAAGACATCCAAATCAAAAGGGTCTATTTTACTTCTAAGTTTATCACAGATGTCTTGAGAACAACTGACCAGTTCAACATTGTCTCTTGAAATGCAAAACGTAGTCATGAATTTCATATCGAACAAAAATTGTAGGGCTTGTTTTTGATTCAGATCTTTTTCTGACAATTTCTCATAATGTCTAAAAATGACACCAACATTATCCTGAATGAACTGAAGATGGATTGGTTTCGGTAAAGTGTGAGGTAATATGTGACACAAGTCATCATTCATTTTTGATAACACTTCATTAAGAGATAAACTTGGTTTCAACGGCACTCTTATTTGTGATTTGAATACTTTTTCTTCAGTTTGTTCTTGGATTTCTATCTCATCCCATCTCTGTAAAATACGAAAAGAAAAATGTATCTATCTCTGATTCTATAGTTGACTTATGGCAATAAGCACAGGAGCAATAAACAAAAAAAGCATAAATCATAAACTTACAGGAAGAGATAGGGGAAGGCAAGATAGAGTATTAAATGCTTACCGTGAACATTTTGAGCATACTCCTAGGTGAAATATCATCCAGTATCTCACACTCTTTCTCCGTTCTTTTAACAGAGTCTTTCACCCAATTCAGCCATAAAACATGGCTTGTTTTGGTAAATATATCACAGATTTTCAACCAGTCATCTGCTGAATTATTAAATGTACAACACTTATGGAAGTTTGGGCATAATTCTATAATGGCTTGCAAAAATCTCGCACAAATTATTGATTTTGCAATCAGGTGCTCCGTTTCTTTGTTCAATAAGTTCGACACAAATTGTGAAAGCCTGAAAAATAATTGAAGACATGCATTTCATTGGGAAATGTTATTATATTCAAGCTAGTTTCTGAACAAATATTTTTTGAATCCAATTTTTCATTCAATGAATAGATGATTAAACTAGTTACATGGATGATTCATTCATTTATTCTAAGACTATGTTTAATTACGCCAATGAATACTCCAATACATTGATTTGAACTGAAACTATCACATTTTACGTGAGGTCCTTGAACAAGTGATCCCGAGTACAACATAATGTAGATGCGGTAGATCTAAGAGTTTTGGGTCATAATAAGTAAGACTGAATTGAAAGTTAGACTGGGGTACTTTCAACAACACTAACAACTCACTCACTTATAAATATCATATATCTAGTAGATGATTATTAAAAACAGTATAACATTTCTTTGAACAATATTTTTATCTCATATCCAATGGAGTATGAATCTCCAGTTAAAAACATTTGTAATTAATATTATCTCTCATCTAAGTAAGTTGAATATTTCAGGTTTTTTTTTAAATTTCATGGAATTAAATAATAATTAGCTACTTTTCTAATTCTAGTTAAATTTATTTTTATGAATATATTATGAAGGACAGATTATTGTTCGATCATTTGTAATATGTAAAATATCCTTACTCTAAGGAAGTTTTTGAACACTCCGACTGAAGATGATTTTCCAATTGAACCTTATCTACTGATTTCCTCTTGAATTTGTAGTCATTCAAAACTGTTGGAAAAATCATTTCCAAATTGAATTCTTTTCCATACAAATATTGTGACACATCTTCCAACAACTCCAAATATTTTTTATCCAATGTACTACAAAGTTCAACTATATTTGGAGAATATCCTTTGGTTTTCATCGACAGTCCTGAAATGGTCATAATAAATTTAGAAAAAGCATAAGTAGTTTATGATAATTCAATATTTTGTTCTACTTATATTATTGATAACTCTTAAGGTAATTTTCATAAACATTTAATGATTCTTGGGATAATGAAAAACAATAATTGAAAGCCTAATCAATTATTAAATGAACAATAATATTAAAAATGAATATTTAATATGATAACTCATATTTCTTACCAACATGTGAATTTTCAGTTTTACTAATATCATTTGCATCTTCAGTCCACATATAATATCTTAGATCACTCTCAGATTTTTCAGATTTAGTTGCTTTCTCCATAGTATTACTTATACAAATTTGTACCTCTTGAATAATAAGAGCCTTTTTCTTTGAAATCAAATTTCGACATCTTTCGGTGATTAAATTTTGGAAAAAAAAATACCAGATATCGAAATGTTCAGGTAAATGTGATTCTTTACAAATTTGTTCCCAGTTGTCTGGCGGTTCTATAAAACAACAAAATCATAAAATGAACTTAATTTTTCGATGATGATGTTACCTATCTTGAGGGACTCTTCCCTAGTCAAATGCAAACCCTTTACATTTGGTATGAGCTCTAAAGATTTCTTCAGACCAACTTCGACACTTTTCTGGGTTGACTCTAACCACACTTTCAAAACAGTTTCTGCATCTCTTAATAAGGTCTCCGAAGAGTTGGAAAATTTGCAGGTTGGCCTAAAATTATGTTCAATAAATATTAGCAAGGAGTCAACATATAATGGAATGGAAGAATTATTAGTATTCAAGAAAATTTGAAAGAAATACAGAATGGTTTATTGGATGCTTCTAGAGGGAATTACTACTTTGTTAAATCTTGAAAATAAATATTTTGATCAAATGATTTTATATTCTAATCCAAAATAAAAGATAAAATCGCCAATTCAATGAAATATCTTCCCAAATAGAACATTTGTTTTTGACTCCTAACATGATAAATGTCCACTTGCATTTTTTTTTTCAATTTATTAAAAAAAATTCAATTCATATTTTTGTAGAAAGATAATTGAACTGAAACTAAAAATTATCTATAAAAATTGAATGAATTCATACCGTCAGCATTGCTTTGGTCCACTCCAATTTAAATAGCTGATATTTGAAATATGCTCTGATATGTGTATGTCTGAATAAAATCTATTTGCAAATTTTCAGAGTTTACCAGAGTATGAAAGATGATGTGAAAATGTATGATTTTATTTCGTTTCACAGAAATACTTAACACAAACTCTAGTAAAAGTTAACAATTAATATAACCTAAAAAATACTGTGAAGAACTCAGACATCAAAGATGAGTCTTCCTTCTTTGTGGATGAAAATATAGTTATTACAATATTTTGATACGTGCCGAGAGTAAGCCTTTTTTAAAATTTGTTCTGGACCATTTTGATTTCTTTATATGATACAAATAGAAATGTCACGAAATTGTGGGGATATATACAAGAAGAGATCTAACAAGGTAACAGTAAGAAGATTGTGGTAATGAACAATTCCCACAAGAAACAGATAATGAAACCCAGCATTTTCAGAGATCGAGATGCATCCTCAAGATGATGAAAAATTATTTTAAATATCTTCAGGTCGTCAGCATATGAGAAAGAAGTATTGTTAAAAATGGATTCGATGTCACTGATGAATAAATTTAACCCTTTCACTGCTCAAGACGAGTATACTCGATCGTGGGTATAGTGCTCGAGACCAGATAACTCGCATTTCAAAATTAAATACGATCTGACTGCTCTAGCCGCATATTGTCGCAAAGGTATTTCGCACATACCAATTGGGGCGAGAAATTAGCTGCGATGGCAACGCTGCTGTACAGCTGATTAGGTAAACACTAGTTCTAGTGATAGCAGTGCGTTTTTTAGACCTGTTTACACAAACAAAAGGCAGTGTATGTTAAGTGTTTTTATTACTTTTTGAGGTGTATTTGTGTAGAATTATTTAATCATGACAAAGAAATATTTGACTGATAAAGAGCTGGAAGAGATTCAGGCTAGAAGTGATGACAGTGAGCAAGAATATGAGTCGCTTTCATCAGATGACGAACTATATGACACTGAAAATTTGCAAAATCAACATGAAAATTTGGCAGATATACAGAGATTTATTTTGAATACGAGCCAACAAAACTTGAATGTGATGGAAATTGATGATTCAAGCTCAAGAATCGACCAAGAAGAACTCCCTTTATAAGGCAGATTTGCATGGTCAACCAAAGAGTTCTCTCACCTTATGTTTACGAATTTGACGAATCCAGTTCAGGCTGCAAATTTCATGCTACTTCAGTACTTGAGTTTTTTTAATATTTTTTTAACCCAGATATAATGAAGTTGAAGGCAAAGGAGATCAATAAAATAAGGAACTTTTTGTAGCAAATAAAAGCTTCATTCCATAAAATATTGTTTTATTGAACTTTAGTTTTTTTAATCGTAAATAAATGCTTACTATCGTAAAATATTATGATTGTAAGCTCATTTCATTTCATTTAATTGAAACCTAAGGTATTTTTTTATCGTAAAACGTATACCCCGTTGCACTATACTGCTCAAGACGACTATTCTCGCAAACGCCAAAAAAATTCAGCAGTGGGTGAGCCGCGACAAAAAGCCAATGTGCAGTGAAAGGGTTAAGAGAGTTAGATTCTTGAAGGATTCCATATGTGACCATTGTGAAATTGAATTATCGATTTTGACAATGAATCCGGTTTGACAAATATCTCTGAAACAAATGTGAATGCAAAACTCTATGAACATAGATTTTTGCTAATAGCAGGGAGTGAACATATCTGAATTTAATTTATTTTGCAAATCAACTTTCAACAGTTGAAATATATTGTATCTCAACTGTATATTTTAGATTGATGGTCACTATTTGAATGCTGAAGTAATTGAGAAGTTGCAGGATATAATATGAAAAATATGACATTTATGCTGAAGTAATTGAGAAGTTGCAGGATATAATATGAAAAATATGACATTCATAACACTGAAAAAATGCCTCATGCTGAAGTAATTGAGAAGTTGCAGGATATAATATGAAAAATATGACATTCATAACACTGAAAAAATGCCTCTACAGGAGCCTCTACCAAAAAAAAAATTCTGCCTTTTGAACTACTTACAATGTAGCAAACATTTGTGATAATTTCTGAAAATTAACTTACGTCTATTAAAACACTTTAGAACTAGGGCACTAGAGATTTAATGAATCTTGCTGGTGTTAACTTGGTTAGCAAAACGAGCATCGAGAAATGTACTTTGGTTTTTATGTGTGGAAAGAGTGTTTTCATTAGATTCATTTTATAAATATTACTGGAATTTTTTCCCAACACCAAATCGTTATTTTTAACACCTTGACACGTGTTTCGATCACCAAGTGACCATCTTCAAAGAGGAAGATTAAAACTGTTTTAACGATTTGGTGTTGGGAAAAAACTCCAGTAATATTCATTACTACACCAAAGGTTCCAAACAGTGCATCATAAGATTTATTTTATGTCAGACTCACAGTTCTACCTATCAAAAATATTTCGTATTTTAGAGAAAAACAGATTTGAAATCTTTATGACATGCTGATTTCAAAATGAGGAAAATAATTAACAAGCATGACAATTTCCTGAAAAAAATCTGATTACATCTATGCTGTTTTTGCGAAATGCAATCATATTGCATAGCAGATATGACTATGTACTTACCTAAACTGCTTTATGATTTCTGGAATATATGTTTGCAAGGGAGTAACGGGCAATTCTAATTTTGAAAGTGTAGTTGGTGATGAATCACCAATAATTTCTTGTAACTGTTGCCAAATTAAACTCTTTTCACCATTCTGAGCACCTGCAAATTGTGTTATTATATTAATAAAAATAATGATATATTCATTTAATAGATATTCACAAGAGAAATGAAATTTAATAGCATAACAAATATAGAAATTTTGAGTGACCAAATGATTGTAAGCATTAATTCAGTATTTTAATGGGGTTGGCAAAGACCACCGGGGGTCTACTATGAAACTTATACATTCTCATATATTTACCTATGAAACAGTCATGTAAAAGGCGGACAGTTGTCATTAGGCATTTGACCATGGAGCTAACCTGCATTCGAACATTAGAGTATGGAGTGTTCATCACAGTATTAAGGGCTGTTTTACGATGTTCAGTAAAAATACTCAACAGATTATTACTAATCTGGTTCTCCAACAACAGTAAAGCATTTAAGTTCTGGCTGGTTTCCTTAAACAATGAAACAATTAGATATACAGTAAAAGTTCAGTTTTTTAGAATAAATAAATAGAAAATACCAATTACCTGTGCTGATGTTTCAACAGATTCTAATTTGTCTGTAATTTTCTGAAAAATTTTAGACCTCAAGACAACTAAGTTTGATTTTATGTGATTTAACAGTGCAACTTTATCTAAATATTCCTTTTTGGAAAGGCTTAGCCCTAAAAAAAATAACTGATCAAACCACAGTAACATGAAAAAAATATCTTACCAGTATGTATATGTTGGGCTAATAAGTAACACTCAGCAGCTCTCAAGTTATTTTCTTCATCTAGTGCTATCCATATCTGTTCATTAATGAATATTGCAAGTCTAATCTGAATTATAACAGTTCGTTCCTCAACTTTTTTACTGAAATTGAAAATAGTTCATGATATTTTGATACTGCCTGTTGTTAGTACTCACTGTTCCAGTTGATAATTAGACTTGATATCGGCATTTGCAGGACTGATGATAAGTTGTTCACATGTATTTGTTATTTTGTCTATACTTTCAACAATTTCTTTGGAAATACTTTTCATAGATTTGATAGCATCTGAGGCTGCTAATACATCTTTATAACGGTCTCTGGAATGTTTTTTAAGATGAATTACATTTAAACTTGTTCTGTTATATCTAAATCCAATATAAACTTACCCAACCATAGACCTGAGTTCATTTCGCTTTCTTTCAATTTCTAGATCCAGTAACTTTTGAATTTCAATAATTTCATCAACGCTGCGGTCTTCAAATAGTTTATCAATGTCTAATTCCAATAAATTGTTATTTCTAGACATTTTCCAATATTATATTTTTGAATAACCTAAAAATGTCAACCTTTTGATACGTCACAAATTTACAGGACACATACACGAATAAATGTAGCGTCAAAAGTCTTCTTCTCTAAACAATCCGGGTTGAACCATGTCGGTGTTTTGTAGTGGTTCGACGTTTCGGCTTTGACTTTGAAGCCATTTTCAAGAAGCTGTCTCTTCACTGAGGTCTCAATCTGTCTACTCCCCAGGTTTCGTCGCTGGTCTATGCAATGGTCTCAATCTGCCTACTCCCAAGCATCAACTGTGCAGACTGGCAGATTGGGACCCCAGCGTCAAGTCGCGAAACCATTACAGAGTGTCACTACCTGAGGAGTAGGCAGAATGAGATATCAATTTGGTCATAGTGTCATAGCTTCTTGAAAATGGCTTCAAAGTCAAATCCAAAACGTCGAACAATTAAAAACACCAGATGCGGTTCAACCCGGACTTGAGATTATCAGATTGCTGACCGTGAAAACCTTTCTGTCGTCGATGCTCAATAAATTATCAGTCAGTCAGTGAAAAAATACTTCTATACCAGCCTTCGTCTTCCTACGAATTTCTTCCCACATGGTTAAAGCAAAATTCAATGCTGCATAATCCACGGAAAAACAACAACTAACCCAGCTAATGCCGCGCTGAGAGTTGAAGTAAAACCATCAGGCACCTGTGCAACGTCTTCGACTTGGAATATTCGTCGCAAGTTATTTCCCATTACGAAAAGCAGAAATTAATTTCGTTTGGTCGATCCGACCAACCGATAGTCCGGTTTCGAAGTGATTGCCCCATCATCAGTACCGGGCATGGTCTCTTCAGAATGGTGTGAACAAAAAATATATATATAAATCAATATAGAATATGCTGAAATGTATTGAAGGGCAAACTGAAAAGTTCACCCCAAAAACTTCGAGGCGTGATTTTCATAGTGTAAACAGGTTTTAAAAACCAAAATGGATTGTTTTCGAAACTTTAACCATTTAAGAAAGCTAAGAATCATTATTTAATTTTTTCAATTAATTTTTCTAGGCAAAATTTACGAATACGACAAATTACTGACTAATTGGATCTTTCAGTAATTCATATTACGCAGTAACTTTTCGGGGTGAACTTTTTAGTTTGCCCTTTACTACACTTCAGCAGATTCCCTTTTGATCAATTTTTATTTTTTCAGATTGTGAAAGGTTATGAGCTTAAAGAAAACAATATATAAAAATTATCATTTTCTAAGAATTGCACATCTCTTTTTCAAACACTTTTTAAAATTTTTGCAATATTGCAGATCAGCTTTATAAATCGTTAATTACTCACAAATTTTCATACTTACACGAGACATCCCATTGATTCACAAATTCTGAGTTTAATTTTCTATATCTATTCGCCGAATGACATGATTGGTGATTGGTATATTATCAAATTAGAGTGAACAGGTTATCACTTTCGTGAATGTTGAATAAACAATAATTATTCTCTATATCTTGAGGTGCATATTTTAAAATTTTATACTCGAAAATATGACTTTCAGGAGGTTTAGCTGAACTATGTTTATATTTATAAGCTCGATTCACACAACCATCAGTCTCAGATAAATCAGTTACATAAACGTTGTCAGGAAGTGAGGTAACATTTTTATTGCTGAAAAAATACTGGGCATTATTAAGCCAAGGAAGTATACTCAGCAATACCTAATGTGTATTTATAGTCAACCAACAATTAGTATATGTTTCGAATCAGTAACATCACTTCCGAATGCGCTTAAGATATCATTAATTAAACATCGAATATTTTCAATATTCAGTATAATTTCAAAAGAGTAACAGATATGTTTATTAAATATTTTTTGTGAGTATGAAAGTTTTATGACGGTATTTTTAATTTTTTATACAACAATAATTTACTTAGTTGGAGCAATAGTTCTCAATTAAAAAATTACTGTAAGATGGTAAGAAATAGTTTGTCAGAATATCAATAAATTTAACCGTCTCTAGACGCTTTTACGTATGTAAAAACCGAACGCACTTTTTAAAATCTGGTGAAGGAAAAACGAAGAAGATTTTCTGTTATAAATAGGTAATAGGTTATCTTTTGTATTTGTGAATTTTTTTAAGTCTACGATTTTATGTTGAAGAAAATGTGTCCCTTGCAGCTTACTTTGGCCATTATAAAACCTCATGCTGTTAAAAACCTCATTTCCTTAAAAAAAATCAAAGAAATAATAGTGACCTCAAAATTTGAAGTTGTTCATTCCAAAAGAAAAATAATGTCACTAGGTGAAGCTGAATTATTTTATTCTGAACATAAAAACAATTTTTTTTATAACAGACTGATAACTTCTATGACTAGTGGACCCTGTGATATATCCATTTTAGCAAAAGACAATGCAATCAAAGAATGGAGGGTAATTATGGGACCAACGAAAGTTTTTAAGGCTCAGTTCGAGGCTCCCGACAGTATAAGGGGACAGTTCGGATTATCGGATACTAGAAATGCCACTCACGGATCCGATTCAGAAGAGTCGGCTAAAAGGGAAATTAAAATATTTTTTCCTGACTTTGATATTGAGAAATGGTATCAAGAACACAATATCGACAATAGGTGACAGAAATGTAGACTTATTTTGTAAATATGCATTTATTTCCATACCAAAGAAAATTATGAAAAATAGATATAAAGTATATATGGGTTTTCTTCTTTATTTCTACAAATGTTGACAACATACAAAAACTGCTGCAGGTTATATCAGCCTAAAATTTGGTGTATCTGTCATATGAAACCTTCACTATTTATAGTTCTAAAATATGTGGGTCTATTCAACCCTCTAGTGTTACTTATGAGACTTCAATGCTATTCATCTATTTTTAATATTTCCATAGTGTTTCATATCAATGCTGGATGGTATGGTCTTATTCAAAACAGTACCCACGAGCATTCATCCCCTCATAATCAAATGAGGGGTTTGATGGTATTCTAAAAGTATATTGGAAGATTTCATCTTTTTCCAGAAAATACATGTAGGGTCTAAAGCCAAAAACTTTTTTTACCTTGAACAAGAATCCGCTCAACGCTAGACTAGGTACTCAACTTCAATAATGGTTCGAAGAGTCCTAAACTTGTAATTCAACTGTCAAGCTTACACGTACCGGGTGACACAGACTTATTGTACACCTGTCTTTTCTTGTTTAGCTATTTCCACAAAATTCAGAATATCAAATATGCTTACAAAGAGGCACTTTTTATCCCAATTGGAGATTTTTAAACTTCAGGTTTTCCAGAAAACACATCGTTTAATTTTCAAATGAAACAACCTGTATGTCATCGCATTTTTGAAATCCACATAATTTTCTGGAAACGATACCACATAGGTGGAATTTGAATAATGGATTAGAACGCATGGTTCTGTCAGATGGCCAGCAAGATCAACGAACTTAATCCCCTTGACTTCTAGGTCATTATAGTTTGTCGGGGAAGTTGTCATGTAACAAAAAAATAACTTCTGTTGTTTCGATAAACTTATTGTTAGTTCATGTCAGCTCACTGATCAAGATTGGGGTAATAATGAAGTAATAAATACTTGATAGAAATTAAAAATTGCGCCAATGAAGTTGCACATTTTTTTAAAAAGTTTTTCAGGCTATTCTACAAAAAAAGAGTTTTTTCTTGAAAGACCGTTTCAGTTCAACCTGTTCCCCAAAAAGTACGAATAATCTTTCAATAACTTGAAAGTTGTTTACACTTTCGAAAACTAACTTTTCAAAAACAGAAAAATGAACAATATATGCGTCAAAGGTCAATTTGCTTCTCGTAACTGAATGTCAGTCATTTTAGGATCACCTTTGATTCTCCCTGGATATATATTTTGGGGCCAAATATGTTAGTGTAAGATATTGGATATGGATTTGTTTAGGAATATGTGTGTATTTGGATGACGCATGTATGACTTTATTCTTCAAATGAAGTTCTATAATGGAATGCATTAAATTGACTTTCTTTTGGCTATGACCTACCTAAATTTTTGGTCTATAGTTATATTATCCTTGATAATAACTATAAAATGTTTACAATAAATTTCATGTGAAACGCGATTTGCTACAGGATAGCTTCATCAGGTAGTAGTAGGGGTTGCCCTTGGATGAATATTAAAGAAAGTGTGTAAATAGCAATAGAAACCAATGTTATTTTACTATCAAGTAATACCATCAGAAATACTGTAGTTGTTACCTTAATCACAAAAAAATTCAAAAGTACAAAAGTGCATTTGCGCACAATTCTCAATCCTCTAGGGTAATGGTGGGCTTTGGGTGGGGAATCATGCGCATAGATTTAAAACAAAAAATAGTGAAAAATATTCATTATTACAACGAATTTATTAAATCTATTGGCAAAAGTCGCAAATATACTGTAACGAATTAAAGAATTAACTGTCTTAAACAAATTTATTTTAACAATACTTCACTATCACAACTAATTTATTTACACCACTCAGTAACTAACGCTTAATTTATCTTCACCGTTTGTTAACCGCTCGATTCACTTTCTTGGTACAGACTACTCTTCGGGACGAAGAGCGACGTTTTTATATCGTCAACGAACGTTCCGGATCCCTCTGCGGATTTCGGGATCCATCCGGAGTTTTGGCGGTATTTCGCGATGCGTCATGCGTTTGCTGACTGGGACATCGGTCAGGGCCGGCTTCAGATTCATTACAATACTTAGAAACTTAGGGCATTAATACAGAAACAACAACATATCATACACAGCGAATCAGTCGAACCAGATATCCAGTTCAGCGAAAGAATCATTAACTTGATCAAAGTAAAGAATATTACTGGAGTTTTTTCCCAACACCAAATCGTTATTTTTAACACCTCGACACGTGTTTTGATCACCAAGTGATCATCTTCAAAGAGAAAGATTGAGTGTGTAAAGTTTTAATCTTCCTGTGTGTCGAGGTGTTAAAAATATCGATTTGGTGTTGGAAAAAAACTCCAGTAATATTCATTACTACACCAAAGGTTCCAAACAGTGCATCATAAGTTGATCAAAGTAGAATTTAACAAAGAGGAAATTTCAACAATGTCCAAGGGGCCGAAATATACACCAACAATAACTAATAAAAATAGTTTGGATACGTTGATAACAGATGCAGCTATTGCATTGAAACAGACAGCATACAAGATATAAATGAAGTAATTCAGAACCATCCATTCTCTTTAACAAACAGAAGAGAAACAGGCACAATAAAAACTATACAATAAAAATGAGAAATAATGATCTTGTTTTCATCACTAAAGCTGATAAATCGAATGCCATCGTTATCCTTGAACGAGAAACATATGTTCAGAAAATTGAGTCAGTCATTCGAAATGAAAACTTTACTGTCATCAAGAAAGATCCAACGAAAAATAGTTAAAATGAACTGAAAAATTTCCTCTTAGTAACCTACTAAAATCATTTTCACGCAATCAGGGAAACGGAGAATCACCAACATTAACCCCTTTTGCCCTAAACTATATGGCCTGATAAAAACACATAAAGAGGATAACCCCATAAGACCGGTAGTTTCGTATATAAATACCTAGTCCGGTGAGAACTAGGAGTAGGTAAGTTTCAACAAGTTGTTCAAAAATATTACCAATTTCGTCCCACCTCACAGCATTGAAAATTCACTGACTTTAGTAGAAAACATAAGGAACTAAACCACGCCACATAATTGAATTTTAGTTTCATTCGATGTAAAGAATATGTTCTCCAACATACCGTACAACGAGTGTAAGCCCCTCATTTTAGAAATATTAGATCAAGCCAAAGTAAACCATATCACTTCCTTTGAAGTTTCAACAGCTTTCGATGTGTGCCTAAATCAGACTACCTACAGTTCAACAACAAATTTTATAAACAAAATTAGACCACTCGGATCCGTGCCACCATAAGAAGCCGAGGCGGGCATTTGAATAATGTCATATTCCACACTTGATGGCATACATGCGCCTTTCAAATAAAAAATAATTCTGTTAAAACTTCACACACAGCTTGTTTTATTCCATTTCAACATCTACCCGTCTTTATTGAAAAACCCTTTATATCAGACATCACCATCCCAAGGATTCTTTCCATCCAGACAGTCATAAATTAGCAGCCTACAATTAAATGTTGCACAGAGCATTCCCACTCTCTCACTTTCACAAATAGAAGAAAACGGTTGAAACAGAAACCTTTGCCGATGTTAAAAAATAATAAATTTAAGGGGTGGATCGTTAAGATCAATTTACACAATAGTATCCAGTGTTGAGGAAACTTCAAGGTGGTACAAAAAATTGGTGTTCACGTCATTCAACTTTTATCTAGTGGTAAATGCTTACTTACTACCTATGTAGAAAATATGGCAATAGACCAAAATTATCATTCTATAATTTTCGACCGGAAAAATTAGTTGAACCTACCCGAAAAGTTTCACATTTACCATCAAAAATAGGTATAACGAATGAAAAAGGAAAACTCTTAGAAAAAAATGGGTATCTATGTGTAGTCAAAAAAACATTTGGAAAGACATAATTCATCATTGTTTGATGTGTCCACAAAAACCGTGGTTATTTCTTGAGCCATGTTTACAAGAATATCATAGTTGAGCGCACTGCGAATTGTTTTTGTATGTTTTTTCTTGTGCTTTGTTTTGTTAGATATCTATTTTTTTTGTTTTTCTTCCAAAAACTTATTTTTTATTAATGATTTTTTACTTTTGAACTTCAAAAAATGTTAAAACTGCAATTAAAAGTGCTAGACGCACATCAGCTAGTGATATGTTTCGGAAAAACCTTTTTGTGTAAAATTGAGGCTCCAATAAGTTGTAGCAGTAGCAGTGTTGTGAAAATTGACTGTTTGCAACAAAGCATCAATATAGTGTTACCACAAGGCATATAATTGTTAGAACTTTACAAATGGAATGAAAAGTGTATTTGCCAAAAAATGGAATCAGATACGAATTACGCAATTGATTCAAAATTTTCTCAATCTAGTATGAGCAACAGTAAGCCTGCCACTAACTTTGTCGGGTATAAGCAACACAATAGCTGGTTGGGTTGGCGTAAGTGGTTTTTTCCACTCATTCAATCGACCGTCAGGTGAAACGGTGGTTCAAGCCGCGAGGTCGGCTTGAACCAACGTGAGGTGTAGCTTGAGAAGTAGGTTTTCTGTGATGCACTTCAGAGAGACGTCCTTTCATGACTGCAAGGTACTATATAACAGCACCACTCCTGATCCTCTCAGCTAATCTGTAGCCATGCACCCAGGTCGGAATCTGCAGCTTTTCGAACGTATATCCTCTTCATACCTAGGGCAGTCATACCTAATGGAGTTTCAAGGAGATTCCGTTCGATTGGTCGATCTTGAGTTTATCGGACTTATATCGTCAAGCTGTAGGTAAAACATTCCCAGCTTAATTACAGCAGCAACTTTTCCATATGCGATATTTGCAAGTCCGATGGTACATCAAATTCAGCCTTGTCTCTGGCTTACGCGTGAATCGCTGCTTGAGCCTAAGCATTTGCTGACCTGCTCATCAGGAAGAGTTTGATTCCCTTCCACTTGGCCTTCTAGTTTAGTTCCGGATCCGCAGTTCCGCACGGATACAAACACCTTAAGAGTGAGTCATTATTCAGAAAAACGCTCACACCTTCACCCTTCACG